GGAGGGAAGGTCTTATGAGGAAAGGCTGAGGGTCTTGAGGCTGTTTTTGTTAGAGAGAAGAAAGTTAAGAGGTGACTTGATAGAGACATACAAGACGATCAGAGGATTAGATAGGGTGGACAGTGGGAGCCTTTTTCCTCGGATGGTGATGGCTAGCATGAGGGGACATAGCTTTAAATTGAGGGGTGATAAATATAGGACAGATGTCAGAGGTAGGTTCTTTACTCAGAGAGTAGTAAGGGCGTGGAATGCCCTGCCTGCAACAGTAGTAGACTCGCCCACTTTAAGGGCATTTAAATGGACATTGGATAAACATATGGATGATAATGGAATAGTTTAGGTTAGATGGGCTTCAGATTGGTTTCACAGGTCGGCGCAACATCGAGGGCCGAAGAGCCTGTACTGCGCTGTAATGTTCTATGTTCTATGTTCTATGTCTGTTAAGCAGTTCCCTATCCATGCTGATATACAGAATGTGGTATGAACAGATCAGCTACAATCTTACTGAATGGCAGAGTGGCCTGCTCCTGAATCATATACTTAAATACACTAATTCATACATAACTCCCAACTCCATGAGCCATTATCTTGTGTACTAATCTTTTATGTAGCACATTTTAAATTTTAAATGTTTCTCGCTCTATTTACTGTTAAATCTTTCAGTCTATTAATGCATTCAATCTTAATCTGCTGTCCTCTCATACCTATAAATTGGCTTCAGGTTTTTAAGATTTTTGATTGTGTTTAAGGTTCTTGTTTGTGATTGGAGCAGCTTGCTTACAAGCTTATTATGAAATTCACTGTTATAGCGTCATAGAGTAATATAGCATGGAAACAGGCCCTTCGGCCCAAACTGGTCCATGCTGACCATGGCCCCCTCAGCTAGTTCCAATTGCCCACATTTTGTCTATATCCCTATAAACCCTTCCCATCCATGTACCTATCCAAATGTTTTTTTCAAATGTTGCTATTGTACCGTTTTTTTCTTTATTCATTCACAGGGTGAAGGTGTTGCTGGCTCGGCAGCATTTATTGCCCATCCCTAATTGCTCACAGGGCAGTTAAGAGTCAATTACATTGCTGTGGGTCTGGAGTCACATGTAGGCCAGACCAGGTAAGGATGGCAGTTTCCTTCCCTAAAGGACATTAGGGAACCAGATGGGTTTTTCCAACAATCGACAATGGATTCATGGTCATCATTAGATTCTTAATTCCAGATTTTTTTTTATTGAATTCAAATCCCATAGCGGGACTCGAACCTACATCCACAGAACATTATCTGGATCTCTGGATTAACAGTCCAGCGCTAATGCCACCTGCCTCAACCACTTTCTCCAGCAGCCCATTCCATATACGCACCACTCTCTGCATGAAGAAGTTACCCCTCAGGTCCTCCTTCATTTCTCATGCAGAAGGTAAGGAGGCATGTGACAGGGGGAAATGTGGCAGAATGGCTTCAGAATTGGCTGACCCTTAGAAGACAAGGGTGGTGGTGGATGGAAAATATTCAACATGGTGCTCAGTTACAAGTGGTGTACCACAAGGATCTGTTCTCAGTCCTCTTCTATTTGTGATTTTTGTAAATGATTTGGATGAAGGAGTGGAAGGGTGGATTAGCAAGTTCGCGGACGATACGAAGGTGGGTCACGTTGTCGACAGTGCGGAGGGCTGTTCTAGGTTACAAAGGGACATTGATAGACTGCAGAGCTGGGCTGAGAAGTGGCAGATGGAGTTTAACCCTGAAAAGTGTGAGGCGATTCATTTTGGAAGGACAAACTTGAAAGCAGAATACAGGGTTAACGGAAAGATTCTTGGCAGTGTGGAGGAGCAGAAGGATCTTGGGTTCATGTTCACAGTTCCCTGGGAGCTGCCACCCAGGTAGATAGAGTTGTTAAGAAGGCGTATGGTGTGTTAGCTTTCATTAATAGAGGGATTGAGTTCAAGAGCCGTGAAGTTATGCTCCAGCTATACAAGAACCTGGTTCGGCCACATCTGGAGTATTCTGTCCGGTTCTGGTCACTTCATTACAGGAAAGATGTGGAAGCGTTAGGAAAGGTACAGAGGAGATTTACCAGGATGTTGCCTGGAATGGAGGGAAGATCTTACTAGGAAAGGTTGAGAGAGCTAGGGCTTTTCTCTTTAGAACAACGAAGGATGAGAGGTGACTTGATAGAGGTGTACAAAATGATCAGAGGTATAGATACAGTAGACAGCCAGAGACTTTTTCCTCGGTTGGAGATAGCTTTTACGAGAGGACATAGTTTTAAAGTGAGTGGAGGTAGCTATAGGGAAGACGTCAGAGGTAGGTTCTTTACTCAGAGAGTGGTTGGGGCGTGGAATGCATTGCCAGAGAGGGTAGTGGAGTCGGCCTCATTAGGGGCATTTAAGCGACTATTAGATAGGCATATGGATGATAGTATAACGTAGCGGTGGAGGTTAGATAGACCTTAGGATTAGGGTAAAAGTTCGGCACAACATCGTGGGCCAAAGGGCCTGTACTGTGCTGTACTGTTCTATGTTCTAAATCTTTCCCCACTCACCTTAAACCTATACCCTCAAGTTTTCAATTCCCCATCCCTGGGAAAAAGACCTGCATTCATCCTATCTATGCCCCTCGTGATTTTGTACACCTCAAAAAGGTCACCCCTCATTCTCCTACGTTCCAAGGAATATGGTCCTATCCTGGCCAACGTCTCTCCAGTAACTCAGACCTGCTAGTCCTGGCAACATCCTCGTAAATCTTCTTTCCACACTAACTATGTCTTTCCTATAACAGGGTGACCAAAACTGTACACAATACTCCAAGTGCGGCCTCACCAACGACTTATACAACTGTAACATAACGTTCTAAAAACTCCTATACTCAATGCCTCGACTGATGAAGGCCAGCATGCTAAATGCCTTCTTCACCATCCCGTCTACATGTGACGCTGCTTTCAAGGAACTATGTACTCAGACTCCTCGGTTCCCCTGTTCCATAACTCTCCTCAGGACCTTAACATTTACTGTGTAAGTCCCACCTTGGTTTGACTTTCCAAAATGCAACATCTCATACTTATCTGTATTGAATTGCATTTGCCAATCCTCAGCCCACTTCCTCATCTGATCAACATCCCTCTGCAATTTTTGCTAACCTTCCTCATAATCAACGATACCTCCTAATTTTGTATCATCTGCAAACTTATTAATCATTAATCATAGATAGTAGGAACTGCAGATGCTGCAGATGAAGGGTCTAGGCCCGAAACGTCAGCCTCTCTGCTCCTATGATGCTGCTTGGCCTGCTGTGTTCATCCAGCCCTGCACCTTGTTGTCTCTAATCATTAATCATGCCTTGTATGTTCACATCCAGATTATTTATGTAAATAACAAATAACAAAGATCCCAGCACCGACCCCTGTGGTACACCACTAGCCACAGGTCTCCAGTCCAAGAAACAACCTTCAACCATCAGCCTCTGCTTCCTGCCATCGAGTCAATTTTGAATCCAATTAGCTAGCTTTCCCTGGATCCCATGCAACCTAACCTTCATGACTAGCTTGCCATGGGGAACCTTGACAAAAGCCTTACTGAAGCCCATACAGACAACATCCACTGACCTACCCTCATCTATCCTCTTGGTTACCTCTTTGAAAAACTCTAAAAGATTTGTCAGACATGACTTCCTGCGCACAAATCCATGCTGACTATCCCTAATCAGACCTTGACTATCCAAATGTTGGTTGATGCTGTCCCTTAGTATCCTCTCCAATAACTGGTCTTATCACTGATGTCAGGCTTAATGGCCTGTGGTTCCCTGGCTTGTCTTTGCTACCTTTCTTAAAACAATGGAACAACATTAGCCACCTTCCAGTCTTCCGGAACTTCACCAGTGGCTAAAGATGAAGCAAAAATCTCAGCAAGGGCCTCTACAATTTCTTCCCTAGCTCCCACAACATTATGATCACTATTACCCAATGGATCTTTTACTGTGAAATTTCCAACTCAACTTGCCTCATCACAGAATGGTAGATTAAGGGAATATTGATGTTGTGGTTTTGGAGAAAAGAAACAAATGACAAATTGCCAAGTTAGATAGCCAGCCATTAGGCCAGGTTCCATCCATATGCTGCATAATCCATTTATCAGGATATTCAGTGTGTAGCCCGTTTACATTAATCAGATGTTGACTGTAGTTTGATGATGCAACAGCATTTGAGGATTTCTCATCTTTGAATTCTGTCAGTAGATGCTCTGTAAGACGGTCCTCCAGGCATGGAGGGAGTGCTATTTCAGGAAATATATCCAACTGTACAAGTGTATTGTGGCTATTCCTATAACTGATGTTTCCTTTGATTTGATCAGAAATTAAGGTGTGTCAAAGTGGTTCTTGAAAGATCATTTTCTGGCACTTCCATGAAATTCAGAGAATGGAATTCTCAATGGGAATCGCCCTTGTATTCTTCCTTCCTTCAGTCTTGGTCTAACCACATCACGTAATGAACAGGCAATTGGAAGGTCAGGCTGCACAGAGACAGATAGTCTGTCTGGACAAACAGTCTCCTATTTATATTTACAGAGGGGCACCTAATAACCAGACAGAATGGATGACACAGGTATTGAAACAGATTTGTGACAATGACTAAAATAACAACTGTAGCTTGAACTGTCAGAGATTTGCACTTACCACTGACAGGCCTTTTCCATCACCTGGTCTTCAAGTTACATTCCCTGCATGTCATTAACCATCCCTCCTATTATTTATTTACCCCTTCTTACCCCGTCACATTGTATACCCCCATTCACTGGTTAACAGGCTCAATTGCACAGAGACAGTTACCTGAAGTCCGAGAATTTGAACGCTGAACTGCCTTGTCTCGCTGCTTGTATGGAAAACGTAAAGCTGTGTCTAGTTGTTTGAAGCTCTCTTTCAGAGAGTGGGTCTGGTAATACTCTACCAGCTCCTACAATGAAAGAAATCACACCTATTGTTATTGTAAAACCTGACATCACATGGACAAATGCAAAGAAATCAAGAAAACTTTGCTCTGTCCCTGGCTCACATTTCCCCAGTTTCTCAACACCCATCTACAAACAAGGATGACTCAATTATGAATGATTCCAAATCATTGCTGCACTTGTTCCTGCCCCAAGTAGTGGTGCTTGGCATCACTAGCCAGCCCTGCCTTGTTTCCTATCCATGAGACCCACCTACTGCTTCCTCAACCCCATTTCTATAAAACCGCTAACGACCCAATACCCCCTCCTGGTATCTGTGTTACTGTTGAGGTGTCATCCTTCTCATTAAAATATACTGTCATCGGCCATATCTTCAGAAAAGCCAAATCTTGAACCTCCACTGGTCTTGTAAATTACCATCTCAACATCACCCTCCTCTTCCTCTCGGTCACCCTGGGCGCTATTGTCACCTCCCAAGCTCTTCCCATCTTTTCTGGAACTTCATGTCTGAATCCCTCCAGTTGGGTTTCCACACTGTTTCAGCAATGATATTGCCTCTATCGAAGTCACAAATGACATCCCGTGTGGTTGTGACAAACATTCTCCACTCACCGCACGCCAACCTCCATATTCCCCAGCCCTCCTATCACCCTCCCAGACCTGTCTGGGGATGTGGCTCTTCAATTATCAGACTGCTTATTTAACATCCAATACTGAACAAGCAGAAATTTCTTCCAATTGAACACCGGGAGGGCTGGCACCATCATTTTCAGTCACCATTCCCGAGTTAGCAACTCTATCCCTCTCGCTGACAGCCATCTGAGGTTAAGCCTGTCTGTTCACAACCTTAGTGCAAATGTTTCAGCCTCAGATGAATTTCTGATCTCCTGATTGAAACTTATGGAATACTGACAGGCCTGGACAGACTGGATGTGGAGAAGATGTTTCTACTAGTAGGAGAGACTAGGACCCGAGGGCATAGCCTCAGAGTTGTCAGTGGTGGGCAAGTTATTGGAAAGAGCTCTGAGAGATAGGATTTACGATCACTTCGAAAGGCACAGTTTGATTTGCGATAGTCAGCATGGATTTGTGAGGGATAGTTCATGCCTCACAAACCTTATTGAATTCTTTGAAGAGGTGACCAAACATGTGGATGAAGGTAGAGCAGTGGATGTGGTATACATGGATTTAAGTAAAGCATTTGATAAAGTTCCCCATGGTAGGCTCATGCAGAAGGTAAGGAGGCATGGGATAGGGGGAAATGTGGCAGATTGGATTCAGAATTGGCTGACCCTTAGAAGACAAAGGGTGGTAGTGGACAGAAAATATTCAACATGGTGCTCAGTTACGAGTGGTGTACCACAAGGATCTGTTCTCGGTCCTCTTCTATTTGTGAGTTTTGTAAATGATTTGGATGAAGGAGTGGAAGGGTGGATTAGTAAGTTCGCGGACGATACGAAGGTGGGTCGCGTTGTGGACAGTGCGTAGAGCTGTTCTAGGTTACAAAGGGACATTGATAGAATGCAGAGCTGGGCTGAGAAGTGGCAGATGGAGTTTAACCCTGAAAGGTGTGAGGCGATTCATTTTGGAAGGAAAATCTTGAAAGCAGAATACAGGGTTAACGGAAAGATTCTTGGCAGTGTGGAGGAGCAGAGGGATCTCGGGGTTCATGTCCACAGTTCCCTGAAAGCTGGCATCCAGGTGGAAAGAGTTGTTAAGAAGGCGTATGGTGTGTTAGCTTTCATTAATAGAGGGATTGAGTTCAAGAGCCGTGAAGTTATGCTCCAGCTATACAAAAGCCTGGTTCGGCCACATATGGAGTATTGTGTCCAGTTCTGGTCACCTCATTACAGGAAAGATGTGGAAGCGTTGGAAAAGGTGCAGAGGAGATTTACCAGGATGTTGCCTGGAATGGAGGGAAGGTCTTACGAGGAAAGGTTGAGACAGCTAGGGCTTTTCTCTTTAAAACGACGAAGGATGAGAAGTGACTTGACAGAGGTGTACAAAATGATCAGAGGTATAGATACAGTAGACAGCCAGAGACTTTTTCCTAGGGTGGAGGTAGCTATTACGAGGGGGCATAGTTTTAAAGTGAGTGGAGGTAGATATAGGGGAGACGTCAGAGGTAGGTTCTTTACTCAGAGGGTGGTTGGGGCGTGGAATGCATTGCCAGAGAGGGTAGTGGAGTCAGCCTCATTAGGGGCATTTAAGCGACTATTAGATAGGCATATGGATGATAGTATAAGGTAGGGGTGGAGGTCAGATAGACCTTAGGATTAGGGTAAAGGTTCAGCACAACATCGTGGGCCGAAGGGCCTGTACTGTGCTGTACTGTTCTATGTTCTATGAATGAACAGATGACCCTTCAGGACTGAGATGAGGAGGAATTTCTTCAGCCAGAGGGTGGTGCATCTGTGGAACTCATTGCTGCAGAGGGCTGTGGTGCCAGATTATTGAGTATTTAAGATAGAGATAGATAGGTTCTTGATTGGCAAGGGGATCAAGGATTATGAGAAGAAGGCAGGAGAATGGGGTTGAGAAACATATTAGCCATGATCGAATGGCAGAGCAGTCTTGATGCACTGAATGGTCTAATTCTGCTCCTATATCTTACGGTCTTATTTGCACACCCCCACCCCTGCCTGTAATATTGTCCAACCTCTTCCTCATCTCAGCTCACGTTAAAACCCTTACTCAAGCATTCACTAACTCGAGATGTGATCATTGCAATGGCTGCTTCCCACATTCTACCCTTTTAAACCTGAGGTCTTCCAACACATTGCTGCCCCTCTCTGGCCTCACACTGTCCTGTTTCCCTGCACTCACTGATCTACATTAGCTCTTGGTCAAGCAACAGCTTGATTTTAAATGTTTCATCCTCATTTCCCAACCCCTCCCTCCATGTCCGCACACCTCACTTTCTTCCTTTGTCATTTCTTAAAGTCCTCTTTTTTGTTACACCAATGTTATATTTTATATTAAAATGTTTCTGTGAAGATTTTGAGGATATTTTGTTACTATTAAGGTGCTATCTAAGTTGTTGTAGGGTAGTGGGGCACTAACCAAGAACTAGAGGACATTCTGATCTCATCTCCCAGACAGAATCCAGGCACTGACTCAGAATGTCTCCTGCTTATCCAATAGGATCCCAGGACTCTACTAACCTCCACTGGGTTCCTAGTTCTTAGTCTCTGATGGTGCCACTTATTTCAGACCTTCCATAACTGGTCTCAATGATGTGGGACAGAGCACCAATGTGGAGAAACTGAAAGAAACATAATTCCTTACAAGATATCACCTCACCCAGCATACGTCTAAGCCACAAACAGTAAAAAGCTCCCACGTTGCTGCCATGCTCTGTTCTGATAGTCTAAATGACAAGACTAGCAAGAACTTTACATGCCCTCTCCTCCTTAGCTAATGGGAAGGGAGATTTCAGCTCAGTTCCTGCTCCCAGTCAGTCACTCCCACGTGACAGGTTGTGCTTCACTGTGATGTCTCTATGGAGGAATGGTCTGGTAACATACTCCAGGCTCCAAAATGGACAAGGTACCAAAGATGAACAGGCATCTGGAAAACAGATTGAGGAAAAGGAATTGAAAGGAAACATACCAGGAGACTCTCAAACTTCTTAGCCTCAGTGATGTGGATCCAATTGTCCTTCTCAACAACCTTAATGTGCTTCACCTCATCATTAAACCTGAGGAGAGACCATCATTGGAGGTCAGGTGGCTTAAAAATAAACCATAAAATCACAAATAATATGATAAATTTGACAAATTAGATTACATATTAGGCTGGGGGACAGTGTAAACCATTACTTTTAAATCATCAGCCACAAATTAATCAATGATACATTAATTTGTTAAGGGAAGGTTGCGTCTGATTTGATTATATTTTTTAAGGATGTAACAAGGAGGTTCATTGAGGGTGGTGTGTTTGATGTAGTCTACATGGATTTTTGGAAGATTTTCAACAAGGCACCACATGGCAGGTGGATCTGCAAGTTAAAAACTCTCAATCTCAGGGCAAGTGTCAACTGGTATCCAAATTTAGTTCAGTGGCAGGAAATAAAGAGACAGTATGACAGGAGACTGGCAGCTAACAAAAAGGAATCTAAAAGTTGATGCCTTGAAAAATCCCTCCAAAAATAGGATCTGATTTACATTCCAAGTATAAAAGTGATACACTGGTGTGGGTGTGAGTACTCACCATTTCGAAACATCATCAGCATTTTAAGCTAAAACTGAGTTTGTTTTAAATTCCCATGTATCCTCACTAGCAGCCCACATCACCTCATTGATCCTTTGCATTGGGTTAGAAAGCACCAGTAACAAAAACATGCATTTGTGGCATTGAAAACTGAGGCTGACTTCTCATTCGAGCACTGCATTTTGTAAAAACACAATACACTGGTCACCAACCTAATACTAATTGCAAATCTTTCAGCCTCTGCTGTCCGCTCACGGATAAGATATGTCCCAGAAATGTGAGCTTTTAGGAGATTGTCAGCCTGCCCTCGCTCCAGGTTACCCGCAAACCTAGGGAGGAAGAAGATTAAACAAAAACGGTAGATGCTGAAATTCTGAAAAAAATATTGACTCAGCAGGTTCAGCAGTATCTACGGAGAGAAAAGCAGAGTTAATGCTTCAGGTCTGTAACCTTTCTTCAAAACTGAAACAACAGAAATGCTGCAGTTAGTCTGATATTCGCCTCCCTGTTAATCTGTCTCTGCCCTGGGATGGTTGGATGGGGACAGTGTAGAGAGAGCTTTACTCTGTATCTAACCCCATGCTGTCCCTGCCCTGGGAGTGTTTGATGGGGGGGGGACAGTGTAGAGAGAGCTTTACTCTGTCTCTAACCCTGTGCTGTCCCTGTCCAGGAGTGTTTGATGGGATGTTTCCTCTTTCCAAGACTTACCATGGGTAGATGCTGTAGTCAGGTTCTTTTGAAGGTGGTTTAATAAAATGCTGAAAGGAGAAATGAAAAGCATTGATTATTTTGTAACTGAGAGACTTTCAACCAGAAAACCTGAGATCAAATTAGTTCAGCCACACAAGTACAAAATTTAGGAGAATCGAGCTGCTGCAAATAGGGCAGAAATTACAGGGTCATCGAGAAATATTCAAGATCCTAACCACTCACTGCTTAAAAAGTCCTCTCCTCATGTTGCAATTGTCTCTTTTGCCAATCACCTTAAATCTGTTCCCCCTCATCCTTGATCCGGCCACCAGTGAGAACTCTGTCCAGTCCTTTCATGATTTTGATTTCTATCAATTCTCCTCTCAACTTTCTCTTCTCCAAGCACAACAATTCCAATTCCTCTAATCTTTCCACACAACTGAAGTTCCTTGGCCGTGGAATTATTTTTGTGAACCGCTTCTGCACTCTCTCCAATAATTCAAATCCTTCCTAAAACAGCAATGCACAGACCTGAACACACTCCTCCATCTGAAGCTGAGCTCGTGTTTTATACAAGTTCAACAGTGACCCCCTTAATCCTGGACTCAATGGCCCTATTTGAAAAGCCTAGCATATAATATATGCTTTATTAACTATTCTCTCAATCCCGTCATCTTTAGAGTCGTATCCTTTCATTTATACTGCTTGTCCTCATTCTTCCAACTAAAGTGTGTCCCCACACACATCTCCACCAGTGAGGTTTGCCTGACTGGCCTAAAGTTGCTGAGCTTATCCTTACAGCCTTTACAATAAAATCTTGGTGCATTTGATCCAGGCATGGTGGCTTCACTTTTATTACCCCTTAGAACTGGGCCTTTTACACTATCTCTCCTAGTTCTTCCGTTAAATATCATCTTGCGTTTGCCCAACCACTTCATAAGCCTGTCTATGTCCTATAGTAGTATATTACTATCCTCTCCACGGTTCATAACTCCTCCAAGTTTTGTGTCATCCACAAACTTTTAAATGGCACCTTACATGGTCAGCAAAATCTATCAAAATAAGCAGGATTCCTCATTCCAGCTCAGAGGAACTCCACTGGAGACCTCCCTCCAGTTCAAGAAACAGCTGGTCACCACTGCTCTCTGGTTTATGCTGGACTGACTTTGATTCCATGGGCATCTAATCTACTGACAAGCCTGAGATGGGGCAAATTACCAAATGCCTTTTGCAAGTCCACATAGACCACAACACTGCATGACCCTTATTAACTGACTCTTCAAAAAAATTCAAATCAGTTAAACATTATTAGTCTGCATTCAATTACGCTTCCATTTGTAAATTAAACTATTTAGGTTCAACTAACTGTTAATGTTATCTCGAGTTATCAATTTCTATAAGTTTTCTGCCACCAAGTTTAAACTGACTGGCCTGTCATTACTGGCTGATCTTTAGGTAAATTTTGTGAGTAAGTGATTGTCCACAGAACAACTGAGAACTACACAATGCCTGCCCACATCAATTAGCCTTAACAAGCATATCACTGCAATGGCCCAATAATTTTAGCTACTGAAGATTGGGTGCAAAAAAAATCTTATTTATGTCTCATGTATTTGGGCAGCTGAGATAGGAATGCATCCCAATTCAACCGGTGAGAGTGAGTGTGTGTGGGAGCCGTACCCCAGTGAGAGTGAGTGTGTGTGGGAGCCGTACCCCAGTGAGAGTCAGTGTGTGTGGGA